ACTCCATCCCGGTGGAGCCGGTGAGGAAGCTGAAGGACGACGTGGAGTACTACGTGGATTCCTGCCAGGAGCCCGACTTCGAGGAGAACGAGTTCCTCTACGACGACCTCGACCTCGACGACATCCGTAGGGAGCGGGGGGACTGCGGGATTGGGGGGAAATGATGGGATTTGGGGGAAAAATGATGGGGATTGGGGGAGAAAAATGGGATTTGGGGGAAAATAACGGGGGAAAATAATGGGGATAATGGGGAAAAATAATGGGGAAAAATGGGGAAAAAATGATGGGAATTGGGGGAAAATAATGGGGATTGGGGGGAAAATAATGGAGGAAAATAATGGGGATTGGGGGAGAAAAATGGGATTTGGGGGGAAATAATGGGGGAAAATGGGGAAAAATGATGGGAATTGGGGGGAAATAATGGGGGAAAATGGGGAAAAATGATGGGAATTGGGGGGAAAATAATGGGGATTGGGGGGAAAAATAATGGGGGAAAATGGGGGAAAATAATGGGGATTGGGGGAAAATAATGGGGAAAATAATGGGGATTTGGGGGAAAATAATGGGGGAAATTGGGGAAAAATGATGGGGAAAATGGGGAAAAATAATGGGGAAAAAATGGGGATTGGGGAAAAAATAATGGGGAAAAATGATGGGAATTGGGGGGAAAATAATGGGGAAAAATGGGGAAAAAATGATGGGAATTGGGGGAAAATAATGGGAATTGGGGAAAAAATAATGGGGGAAATTGGGGAAAATAATGGGGGAAAATGGGGAATTGGGGGAAAAATAATGGGGGAAAATAATGGGGATTGGGGAAAAAATAATGGGGAAAAATGGGAAATTGGGGGAAAAATAATGGGGGAAAAATGGGGGGAAAAATGGGGAATTGGGGAAAAAATAATGGGGGAAATTGGGGAAAAATAATGGGAATTGGGGGAAAATAATGGGGATAATGGGGGGAAATTGGGAAAAAAATAATGGGGATAATGGGGAAAAAATGATGGGAAATTGGGGGAAAAATAATACGGGAAAATGGGGAAAAATAATGGGGAAAAATAATGGGAATTGGGGGGAAAAATAATGGGATTTTGGGAAAAAATAATGGGGATTGGGGGGAAATAATGGGAATTTAATGGAGAAAATAATGGGAATAATGGGGAAAAATAATGGGGGAAAATTATGGGAAATTGGGGAAAAATAATGGGGATTGGGGGGAAATAATGGGGGAAAAATGGGGGGAAAAATGGGGAATTGGGGAAAAAATAATGGGGGAAATTGGGGAAAAATAATGGGGATTGGGGGAAAAAATAATGGGGAAAAATGGGAAATTGGGGGAAAAATAATGGGGAAAAAAATGGGGAAAAAATGGGGGGAAAAATGGGAAATTGGGGGAAAAATAATGGGGAAAAATAATGGGGAAAAATAATGGGATTTGGGGAAAAATAATGGGGGAAATTGGGGAAAAAATGATGGGAATTGGGGGAAAATAATGGGGGAGAAATAATGGGAATTGGGGGAAAAAATAATGGGGATTGGAGGAAAAAATAATGGGGGAAAACTGGGGGAAAAGGGGAATTGGGGAAAAAAATAATGGGGGAAAATGGGAAATTGGGGAAAAAATGGGGAGAAAATGAGGAATGAGGGGGAAAATAGGGGCAAAAAAGGGAATTTTTTTAGGATTTTTTTGGGTCTTTTTTAAGATTTTTTTTAGGATTTTTTTTAGGATGTTCTAGGATTTTTTTAGGATTTTTTTAGGATGTTTTTCAAATTCTTTGGGATTTTTTTTTAGAATTTTTTTGGGATTTTTTTAGGATGTTTTAGGATTTTTTTAGGATTCTTTAGGATTTTTTTTTTTAGGATTTTCTAGGTCTTTTTTAAGATTTTTTAGGAATTTTTTTAGGATTATTTAAGGATTTTTTTAGGATTTTTTAGAATGTTTTTCAGATATTTTAGGATTTTTTTTAGGATATTTCAGGAATTTTTTTTTAGGGTATTTCAGGGGTTTTTTTAGGATATTTTAGGATTGTTTTTAGGATATTTTAAGATTTTTTTTTGGATATTTTAGGATTTTTTTGGGGGTATTTTAAGAATTTTCTTTACGATTTTTTAGGATTTTTTTACGATATTTCAAGATTTTTTTTAAGATATTTTAGGAATTTTTTTAGGATATTTTAGGATTTTTTTAGGATTTTTTTAGGATATTTTAGGAATTTTTTTAGGATATTTTAGGATTTTTTTTAGGATATTTTAGGATTTTTTTAGGATATTTTAGGAATTTTTTTAGGATGTTTTAGGATTTTTTTAGGATGTTTTAGGATTTTTTTAGGATATTTTAGGATTTTTAGGAATTTTTTTTAGAATATTTTAGGATTTTTTTAGGGTGTTTTAGGAGTTTTTGAGGATATTTTAGGATTTTTTTAGGATATTTATTTTAGGATTTTTTTAGGCTATTTTAGGATTTTTTTAGGATTTCTTTCAGATTCTCTTTAGGATATTTTTTGGATTTTTTTCAGATTCTTTTTCAGATTTTTTCAGATTTTTTTCAGGATTTCTGAGCTCACTGCTGGGGTTTTTTTTTGGGGTGAATCCCTGGGATTTTGGGGATTTTTTGGGGGTGTTTTGGGTGGGATTTTGGGGAGGGGGCTGCTGACCCAGCTGCCCCCCCTGTGCCCCCCCAGCGCAGGCTCTGGTGGCCACGTCCCCCCCCAGCCACTCCCAGATGGAAGATGAGATTTTCAACCAGAGCAGCAGCACCCCGACCTCCACCACCTCCAGCTCCCCCATCCCG